TGGTGCGATCTCGGCTTATTGCAACCTCTGCCTCCAGGGTTCAAGAGATTCTCCTGCCTCAGCCTCCCGAGTAGCTGGGATTACAGGCATGCACCACCATGCCCGGCTAATTTTGTATTTTTAGTAGAGACAGGGTTTCACCATGTTAGCCAGGCTGGTCTCAAACTCCCTGTACTCATGTGATCTGCCCGCCTCAGCCTCCCAAAGTGCTGGGATTACAGGCGTGAGCCACCGTACCTGGCCAGCCATTGGTGTTTTCTTAAAATAAGCAAATAAAATTCCAAGGTCAAGGAAACCAGGCAGTACTTACCTCATTGACTATGTAATCCAACAACTCAAAAATTGCCATGGGAGGTCGGCTGTCCATTCCATATGCTACAAATTTTATAAAAAGAAAAAATACTTCTCAGAAACAGAAGATTACTTGTTAATATGAGGCAAGGGGTTGGGCATGGATCCCTAGGGCCAGAACAGAATCATGGACAATAAACAGATTAAACAGCCACAGGTAAGGCTTGAACACAGAGGGGACCAGCAAAGGTCAGGGTACAAGTCTGGGCTCTGCCACATGTTAAGTTTGTAACCTTTGGCAAATCAGTTCACTGCTGAGTCAAAGTTCTGAGTTTTGTAAAGCACAGACATAATTATTTTGTCTGTCTTTTCCCTCTTCCTTCTATTGAGAGAGAAGCAAATGAGAGAGCAGCTAAATAACTAAAGAGCTTAATTTTAATTCTCCATGAATGTGCGTTTCTTCCTTTTGTCTCCTAGAATCACAGGCCAGCCTCAGAGGCCACAGCCACCAGGCCCTCCAATGACGTGTCAACAAGCTACCCCTAGCCCCCTCTGCTTTCCCCTTCATACAAGCTCTCTCTCATGTGGACCTCACAGAGGTAAAGGCAGGTATCCCTAGCCAGACAAAAGCTACATAAAAAACATATGGCTAGGTCAGGCTATTCCCTGAGTACCAGGCTTACTTCCCAGTATTCACATTCAGCGAGACAGGTGGTACTGCACAGTGATTATCATCCTGGGAGTCAGAGTTGGCCACTTACAAGCCTATGTAGCCTTGACAAGTGCACTGTGCCTCAGTTTCCTCATCTTTAAAATGGAGATTATAATCATGTTCACAAATGGAATGCTACTAAAATTATATAATGCTAGGCAAATCCGTGGACACAGAAAGTAGATTAGTGGTTGTCCAGGGATCAGGCTGGGGGGAGTGGGGGATGGGGTTTCTTTCCAGGGTAATGAAGATGTTCCAGAATGAGACAGTGGTGATGGCACAGTGGCTCATGCCTATAATCCCAACACTTTGGGAGGCCAAGGCAGGAGGATCACTTGAGCCCAGGAGTTCCAGACCAGCCTAGGCAACATAGCAAGACCTCATCTATACTAAAAAATAAAAAAATTAGCCAGGCATGGTGCCACACACCTGTGGTCTCAGCTACTCAGGAGGCTGAGGCAGGAAGATCACTTAAGCCCAAGAAGTCATGGCTGCAATAAGCCATGATGACACTACTGCACTCCAGCCTGGGTGACAGGGCAAAACCCAGTATCCAAAAAGAAAAACCACAAATTAGAGGCCAGGCGTGGTGGATCATGCTTGTAATCTCAGCACTTTGGGAGGCTGAGGCAGGAGGATTGTTTGAGCCCAAAAGTTTGAGACTAACCTGAGAAACATAGGGAGACCATGTCTCTACAAAATAAAAAACAGCTCAGCTGAGCGTGGTGACATGTGACTGTAGTCTCAGCTACTCAGGAGGCTGAGGCAGAGGCAGGAGGATCACTTGGGCCTGGAAGGTTGAGGCTGCAGTGAGCTGTGATCATGCCATTGCAATCTAGCCTGGGTTACAAGAGTGAGCCCCTTCCCTCCCAAAGCCCCAAATAAATTATAGTCTGTAGTCCCAGCCTACTCTGGAGGCTGAGGGAGGAAGACTGCTTGAGCCCAGGATTTGAAGGCTGTGACTAGCCACTGCACTGGGCAACACAGCAAGACCATTATTCTTAAATAAATACAAAAGGTTAGATAATGTATGCAAAGTGCTAAGTGCAGTACCTAAAACACAGTATGTACTCAACAAATGGAAGGAAGTTGTTGGTAATAACACTCTCCTATACCCACCTGGAGACCCCTGCTGCTTCTCCCTGCCCTAGTGTGGGATCCAGGGACACAGAATCAGTCTTGGCAAAATGTACGAAGAATCAGCCCTTCAGAAATCCCTGAAAGTAAGGGACCACCCCACAGTCCAAGGTGGGGACACAAGAGGCTACTCACAGCTAAGGGGCCTCCCAGGGGTCCTTGGCCTGGGTGGGGTCTCAGCCGCATCTCCCTCCACCTGGCACCCAAACATCAGCTCCAGCTCCTTGGCATCTGGAGGAGGGATGGGATACCTCCCAACCGCCATCTCTACCAGAGAGAGTCCCATGCTCCAGATGTCCGACTGCACAGAGTAATGAGTCCCCTGGAGCCTTTCTGGCTGCAGGAGAGACAGAGAGACAGTTATAATCACCTGACCTAAGTTGGACCCCTGGATCTGCTAATGCATTTTCCCTTCTGTCCCTTCTGAATAGTTAATATACTGTTTCAAGAGCTCCACTAATCTCTTGAATTTGGCCTCTTGCCTGCCCCCAAATATTGTGTTTACCAAATCCTAGCTGGCTCCAGTGTCTTTGACCCCTCCTCCCTGCTCTCTCTCTCCTATAATCTGGACTAAACTGACAGACCACACTGACTTGGCTTGGCCCTGGCTGCCACTTCAGCCTATGGTTAGCCTTACCCAGCTTGGCCACTTCAGCCTACGGTTAGCCTTACCCAGCCTGGCCACTGTCTTGCACGGGCAGGGCAGCCTGTCCAAAGCCCAGCATGAAAGGTTCATCTTGTTACTGAATCTGAAACATGAAGCTTGTGGAACTCGGGTTGGGAATGAGGTGGTGCCGTGGATACAGAGAACAAAAGATCTAGGATCAGTGGGTCTGAGACTTAAGTCCCAATTCTTGGACTTACAAGCTAAAGGATCCTGAATCTCAGCCTCATCTATAAAATGGGGCTGCTGCTGGGCTGGGCATGGTGGCTCATGCCTGTAATCCCAGCACTTCTGAAGGCCAAAGCAGGCAGATAACATGAGGTCAGGAGACCAGGCTGGCCAACACAGCGAAACCCCATCTCTATAAAAATGCAAAAATTAGCTGAACATGGTAGCAGGCACCTGTAATCCCAGCTACCTAGAAGGCTGAGACTGACTCTCTTGAACCCAGGAGACGACGGTTGCAGTGAGCCGAGATCGCACCACTGCACTCCGGCTTGGGCAACAAGAGCAAAAACTCTGTCCAAAAAAGAAAGAGAAAAAAATGGAGCTGCTGATGAAAATGACTAATATTTTATCATTGACATAACAATGACATAACTCTACTTAGAGTTACTAAAAAGATCAAATCATATGAAAATGTACGTCGGATGTTGCAGAATGTTATACAAATATTAGTTGATACTGGTGGGAAGAGCCAAAGAGAAAAAAAGTACACAGTGCTATACACAAGCATTATTTTTAATGAGCATTATCTGAAATAGCACATGTATTTCAAGAACCCTACCAAGAAAATCTTTACTCTGGCCATAGTGTATCCATTTAGACATTAACTTCTCTTGTAGCATTGTTCACTAACTCCTACACTAGACTATTTTGGAACTGACCATATAATCACAAAAACTCAAATCATTAAACCCTTGATCAGTGAGTCCCAGGGCCTGTTAATGGATTTTGAATTTGAGAGTTGGCAATCAAATGGCCCAGGATGCCAGCTGCTCTGTTATTAGACATTTAGGGAAGAAGCAATGAGGAGATGACAGAGAAAGAGAGTTCCGCTGTGGGTCACTGGGGGTGGGGGGATGTGGGTCAGTGCCAGGTAAGTGATGTTGACAGTGCCTGGAGTCATAGTGGGGGGTAGGCGCCAGCAAGAAGGAATGAGGATGTGTTCACACTGGGATCTGGACACAGGTGCCAAATCCTCCCTAAGAGGCAAATGAGGGCGTGCTGTGCAAAGGGCGTATGCCTGGCAAGGAGGCAGCTGGCTTTCAATCCTGGCTCAGCAAGGTTAAGTAGGCAGCTTGCTTAACCTCCCTGAATCTACACTTCCTCACGTCTAAAATGGACGCAATCATCTTTATTTCCTGGGACAGCCACATGGACCAAATGAGACCTTCCAGGGACATGATACGTGCTTTGACAGAGAACACACAAAACACTTTGTACATGTTAAGATCTGAGCCCCGGCACCTGTCCCCCATGTGGGCCTGCTCCCGCCACTTCTGTAAAGACTGCCCACTCGCTCCAATGCTCCTCCACTCTGCGACACTTCAGCACTGGCCCAGTGTATATAATGTGAGTTAAGACTCAAATTTTCACCTTTGCGATCATTCTCAGAAGTGTGCTATCCATGTACCCTCCCATTCAGCCAACCAAACATCTACCCACTTGCCAAGCATTCCCCGAACACCTACCACATGCCAGGCCCCACGCCAGACGCTAGAGACAAGAGAGACACCTTGTCCCTGTCCCCCAGGAGCTGGTAATATGGAGGAGGGAAAAGAACATGCCGGTGCTGCCATGGTGTGGGGGTGGCTCCACACAATGCTCTAGTGACAATGGGAGCCCGCAGAGGTAGGGGCAGCAGGGAAGACCCCCAACACAGAGTGTTGGCTGCAGTGGAGCAGAGGCTCCGGGTGAGGGGACCGGGTGTGCTGCAGTTAGGGGAGGGGTAGGTGACTGGCAGACGTAGTGAGGAGGGAGAAAAGAGGCTGGGCAACTCTGAGCAGAGTCTCAAGAGTTGGGGGCTGCTAGACACTGAAAGGATGAACTGCTGAGAAGGCAGGTTACAAGCGAATGTTCAGGCTTCTCCCTTGGGAAACCAGGGAGGTAATGCTATCTATTTATTGCTAAGAGAAAAGGAGGAGGTGAGATCGTTTGGGGTGGGTCATTTATCTGAGCATACTCGGTTTGCGGATCTGAAGACGATCATTTAGAAATGCCCAGAGGGGAGCTGGAGCTCACAATCCTTCAGAATGAAAGGTGCACTCTGGAGCTGGACAATCCTTTCAATGAGCCAAGGCCCCAATATCCCAGTTATGCTCCAAGGCCTAAGAAAAACCAAAACCACCTTCCCATTCAACTTCATCTCCCTTACTTCTTGTCCCCTATCCAGCACAAGAAGCTCAAGCAATGGAAACTTCTGTTCTTACCGACATGTAGGACCTTGTGCCCACGAAGGAGTTGGCCATGGAGTCGATGAGCTGCCCGCTGACCCCAAAGTCACAGAGCTTGATCTCCCCACGGGAGTTGACTAGGATGTTGGAGGGCTTGACATCTGCAGGAAAAAGAAAATAGAAAAGAAGGGAACTGACACAGGTAGACTGGGGAAGAGAAGGATCAGCATTCCACACAGAAGCAGCCCTGACTGTGAGTCCCAGGACAACACTCCTATCCCCCATCAGAGGCAGCCCTTGGCTTGCAAACACTGTACACCAAGGCCCCTTGTTCTGGGTTCAAGAAGCAATTGTCAGGAGATTAAATGACCAGCTGCTGCAGAAGGACAGAAAGGCAGTAGATTTCCACTCTTTGAGAATGCACACTTGGCCCGATGACCCACAGGAAGGGGTCAGTTATTGTGAATGGTCAGGATTTCAAAGTCTGTTGCTTCAACCACCCCTACTTGTAAGACATAGTATCTATGGTTGGATTATGAAGGAGGCAGGACCAAAAAAAAAAGTAATAAGACCTGCCTGCTTGCTGAGGCTACACAGGCTAGAAGGGGCAGGGTGTGGTGGGAACTCCCGTTCGTGACTCTGCACCAGGCCCAGAGCATGTGGGTCTTTTTCTTATCACTATGTGTGGCTGGGGTAGGAGCCAAGTCATTCCATCTAGTCCATTCCACTGGAGTCTCTCACCTAGCCGTCTACACAGCTACATCTACCCTGCCAGTCAAGGGGAACCCCTTGCTCCCTGGAGCTGGAGCATGAGAGGCCTTGAAGCTCCACAGAGTCAAAACGATGCCCCCACCCCACCCCACCCATCTGGTCACTGCCACAAATACCCGTACACTGGCCCTTAGTTTGCAGAGACCTAAATTTCTGAACATTTTGTCTTCCACTGTATCCTCTGATTCACACAATTATCCTGTAAAGTGCATACATCAGCCAATTATCCTCATTTATAAGCGAGGAAACCAAGGCTGGGACTTGGTGAAGGCCCCTGGGGCAGGGCTTTGTGGAGCAGACATCGGCAAACAATGAGACTGACTTCAAGGGCAGGCCATGTCTAGGAAAAGTCCTAAACCATGACAGGAAATCCTCAATACTTGTAATACGGACACCATACAGGACATCTAGAAAATGAGAAAAAAAACCCACCCCCTGTAATACAACCCAGCAGAGCCACTTACAATGTTTCATTATTTTTCCCTTCAATACTGTTTTATATGAATGCATTTATTTTTTATTATTATTCTTTTTTTTTTTTTTTTTTTAAGTAAAACAAGCAGATGTTACTAAGGATGAACTGGAAACCACAAACTGAGCTCTTTTTCTATGACCTAGCCTCCCTCCCCCCACCTCCCTTACCCTTAGGCAAAGAGTAGTGTGTCCAGAGGGCCTGCCTATGAAATTCTGAAAGCCTCTCCAGAGATACCTAACCCCTGTGGTTAGAGGACGGGTGGGTGCAGCGGGGCTTTTATAAACGACAAAAACACAAACAATTTTAAGTCCTGAAAAAAATTCATTTGGATGTTTGTTTTGCTTCTGTTTTACAGTTTGTTTTAAATCAAAGACTACACCTTCCTGAGACAAGCGTTCATTTCAAACGAAATGAAGACTGGCCAGGGCGGTGGCTCAAGCCTGTAATGCCAGAATCTGGGGAGGCCCAGGCGGGTGTGGGGGTGGGGTAGGGATCCTGGGGATCGCATAAGCCCAGGACTTCGAGACCAGACTGGGCAATATAGGAAAGCGCCACCTCTACCATCTCTAGAAAATAAAAACATAAAGAAAAGCTTGGCATGGGGGTAAGAGACTGTAGTCCCGGCTACTTAAGGGACTGAGAGGGAGAGGGAGAAAAGGAAGAGAAGGCGAAGGAGAAGGAGGAGGAGGGGGAGGGGGAGAGGGAGGGGGAGACAGATCTCCAGATGTCTTCCAGATCCTGGCATTCCAAAGGAATAAAGACAAAGAAACCAAAACCAATTTCTCCAAGGCTTCAGCTTTTCCGTCTGACCCTTTGATCGACATTCCATCACTTTGGCAGCATGGAGGGAGTGGATTCGGAGTGGACACAAAACCCTTTTTAGAATTAGATAAGATAATTAAAATGCAAACAAACTTCCTTGTTCCTTCACCTCAAGGAGTGTCCTTGGAAAGCAAACTTCGGGACATTTCAGGGGGGCGCAGTGCGAGGGTGCCCTTTGCGCCTCCGCTCCGGAGAAAAACGAAAGGAGGGTGGGAAACTAGGACAGAGGTGAGAAGAGGAGGCTGAATCAGCGAAGGACAAAGGGAGCAGGGCTCCGGACAGGGGTAGGAAGAAGAAGCGGTGGCTGGGACCTGTGTCAGCTTCCTCTCTGAATGGCTAGACGGCCGCCAGGTGGGCGAGGCGGAGCGCGGGGAGGCGGGCTCCGCGCGCGATTGGCCTGGGGCTGATCCAATCTCCTGCTCTCGCGGGCGGGGAGTCCTGGGCGGCCGCAGGGGTCACACCCAGGACTTGTTGGTCCCGCGCTTTCCGGAGCCCGGCAGGCGCTCGCTGCCTGAACAGGTCAAAGAACGAACGAATGAATGACTCTTTTGCCAGGATGGGGACCCGGGGGCCTCAGGGAGCTGCGAATCCCACGGACTCTTCCCGCAGGCCTTTCCCGCGCGAGGTGGAGCGCGAGGTGGAGCGCGGGGCTCCGCTGGCTCCGGGCACCCCGAATCCCGGGACGGCAGGAGCAAGCCGAAGCCTGGGCGGCGGCCACGAGGACAGGTCGGCAGGTCGGACCCTCGGACCTCGGGCCGGAGAGGAATTGGACCGTGAGTCCTGGGTCAGAGAGAAAGTGCTCTTTCTCCTGCACCCAGAGAGGTGGTTAGGGACTCGGGGGGACCCTGCACGGGAAGCGATGGCCGAGGGAGAGGACCCTCCTCTTGCGGGTGGCGAGGACCAGGGCCAGGAGCCCAGCTGCTCTTCTCACGTCTTTCAACGAGAAAAGCGAATTTCTGGCAGGCGTGTAGCCCCGCCGCGGGACCCAGCAGACCCACCCAAATACGTGCTGGTGCGGGTGGAGGATTATCAGGTAACTCAAGAAGTGTTGCAGACCTCGTGGGCCAAGGGTCGCATGACCACGAGGACTGAGGAGCACTCTGTGACCGCGCTCACTTTTCGCAGCAGTAGAGAGAGACAGCCTGGGGGGCGCCGGGGCCCCTGCTGAACCCCAGGCTCTCCAGGCACGACGAAAGGCACCCCGCGTCCACGCCGCGGAGAGGAGGGTTTCACCGTCTCCAGGGAGCTGGCTCGAGGAGATTAGACTCTAGAGAGGAGCCCGAGAAATGTTCCGGGACGGTGGATGAGCGATCATCCTAAAAAGAAAATGCTCTTCTGGGAACTCCAAGCTGCAATTAACCTGCAGAAGGAACCTTTCCAGAGGCTGGCGCAGCGCTTCAGAGAGGCAGATAAGAACTGTAAGCAGTATAATACCTTCTTTGTGGCTTGAATTCCGTGGGAGTCTGGGGAGCTAAGTCATTCAGAAGAGGGGGAGAAAAGATGTCTTCAAATTGGCAGAATGTGGGAGTTTTGAAATGAGCAAACCTGTTAATTTGCATTTTGCAGTAACTCGATTGATCTCTTTTCCGTTACCCGCCCCCCACCCCGCTCCCACCTTCTTTCTCTTTAGGACCTAGAAGCAGAAGTGAAGTTTGAAGTCTGCTCTCTGCAAAGAAAGTGGGAGTGGGTGGAGGAGAGAGGCTTGTTTTAAAAGCCAAAAATAGAAAGTAAAAAGAAATGGGAAAATAAAAAATAAAACCAAAGCAGCAAGTGACTCCCTTCTGATGTGCACTTTTCATTTTTCTCCCCCACATTTCAGTGTTAGAAAGAAAAAGAGAGGCGCTAGGGGAAGAAAGAGTAGAGAACAGAAGACTAAGATTTAAATAGCAAGAAATTCTGTTTAAAAAGGCTTTACCACAAACAATAGCTAATTTGGTCCTGTAAACATGCATTTATCAGAAATCTTTAATTTTAATATTAAACATACTGCGTGTAAATGTTCTGATCTAAAGGTGGATAGCAATGTGTAGTTTGCCATGAGTTCATGTCTTCTTTTCCACAGTTCTTCGTTAATGAGACTTATAGTCAAGAATGGATTCATAATACCACTCTCCTGGTGTAGTTAAAAAATCTCTTCTGGTACTACTAAAACAACTAAATTTTCTTATTTTGTTTACTCCTCTATATTATTAAATACCATCTGAATTAACTCTTTAGTATTTGGCTTGGTTGCAGCTCTGTGAGGAGCAAAGCAGCCCTCTCCAGGTGAACTGCTTGACTTTACCGCTACTGAAGGAGTTTGCTGCAAGAATTAACAAAGCAAGGAGGACTCTGGCTTTTGATGAGCAAATGGTTGAAAAGTGCCTTCTTCCCCAGCCTTCCCTTTTGCCTTCATTTTTAGTTTAGAGCTTGAAATGTTCTCAGAAGATCATCTGATCCACCCCTTGTCTCCTGGCAGGCCAGATAGATAAGACACCCCTAGTAATTGCTTATGCCTGCTAAGTGAATGAAGAATATGATCCTCTCCCTCCTAAAGGTTTGGGGTGGCCATTAAAGGACTTATCTGACCCTTATTTAGGGGTCAAAAGATGACTGAGGATATCCTAGGTTTTCTAACTCATGTTTATGAAAAGTACTAGAATCACCTTGATGTTCCTGAATCCTGCAAGGCCTCTTGCCTGGAGAATCATCATTAGCAGTTCTTAGGCCTGTGAGACCCTCACTTGGGAGAGGAATTCAGCATCTGAACTCATTTGTGTTCAAAACTGCTTGACAAGTAGAAAAGTTTTATCCCTTAAAATGAATCTCTTTTCCTAACAACCTGCTTGACTCCAGTGTGAGATTAACCTGCGTGGCATGTAAGTTTCAGACCTGAGTTTATTAATTCGGTTGAATCATCACATGCCCCAGGTGACTGATCATTGAATATGGAGAACAAAAAAAGTCTCTTTCACAATAACCAAAAATGGTAAGTAGCATCACTCAGTTGCCTTCTCTGGAGGCAAGCTCTGGAACTCAGCTGCCTGGGTTCAAAACTGGCTCTACCTCTTTATTAACTGTGTGTCCTTGGGCAAAGGTGCCTTATCTCTGTATGCCTCTGTGTCCTGATTTATTAAGTGGGGACAATAAATCGTATCAACTTCATAGAGATTTTTCGTATCTCTTCATGGAGAGGATTAAGTTAAATGAAAATACTTAGAACCCTGCCTGTCATACAATAAACACTTGAAGTTAGTTACATTTTTATTATTAGCATGGTTATTATTTAGCTCACTTTTCATCATAACTAGGCTTTAGTCTTTTATTTAGTAACAAAGAGCAGGAATCGTATAACACAAGAAATCCATTGGAAGCCAAACCAGTGGTTTTTAGTAAGACTCTTGCGTACTCCTGAAAGAAAGGACTTATTTCTAGCTTTTCCCAAGCTTTAATGGATCAGCAAGTATATTTCTTAAATTCCGTAGAAATGACATTCACATCTTATGTAGGGACTCATGCTAAGGCTCAAAGAACTAAGGTATACTATGCTTAACAAAGCATATGTACCCTAGTTCTTTGAGCAAAGCTCCCTTCTGCCCAGAGCTAAGTGGTATGAAAAGATTTTACATACCACTTAGTCTGGGCAGATAGCTTTGAATACTTTCTTTGATTTGTCAGGCTAGTTTGTTTTCCCTCTGGGATTTTAAATCTGATACCCTGTTGTCTAGAGAAGCAGAAGAGACACAATTTGTTTTCATTTTGTCTTTCAGCCAAAACTGCCCTTAGTCAAGTTAGCTTAACTCCTTTAAACCAAATATGTTTGAGTTCATTTTAAGTGACTTTTTTTCCTTTCCTCACAGTGTTCCAAGCAATGAAAATTTATTTTTAAAGCACTTATTCAACTTCCTTATTAATTGCCTACAGCATGTTTACAGATTTCCTTCTCACTGGAAACAAAAAATAGTAAGTCGAAATACTGTTGAATTTGCTTCACAGGTGCTCCTCATCCAAGCAGAACCCTGTCATGTGAAGAGCCTGAGAAATCTTACCCCATTTACAAGTGACCTGGGAATGCATCCAAAGTGAATTGGGCATCTTCAATACTAAGAAATCTCTGAGAATGGCTGGGCCTTGGCTGTTTGATCTTACGTCTACTCCACTGAAAAATAAGATTATCTAAAATTGTGTTTGGTGGATGAACCACATCAAAGACTTCCAGAAGCCACTCCAGTGACCATAAGACAAATGTCAGAATTGCATAGTTACTGGGATCAGGCAAGTGTCACCCTCTCTTAAAACTCTTGGTTTACAACCATCATTTCCTTTCAGGAATAATTACATTTGACTTGCTGCTTATTTTTGTTGGACGTTACCAGTGCATGGCGATAAAACTTGATGTGGCTTTTTGCTTTGAAAAAGAAAAAAAAAAAAANAAAAAAAAAAAAACAAACTTTTTATTAAAAGAAAAAGTTATACACACTGCATAAAATTGGGGAAATATTATGAAGAAAAAGAAAATTATTATTAAAGAAACAAAAATGTACAGATGACCCCAAATCTCTTTTAATATTTGGCATGTTTCAAGTATGAGTTTTTTGTTTTGTTTTGTTTTGTTTTTATTTTACAGAGATAGTGCCTTGCTATGTTGCCCAGACCAGTCTTAAAATTCTGGACTCAAGCAATCCTCCTGCATTGGCCTCCTAACACGCTGGGCTTGTAGGCCTCAGCTATCATGCCCAGCCAAAGATGGCTTTATTTTATTATATTTTCATGTGTATATACCTACGTATATACCTACATTTTTCTAAGCATAAACTATATAAAATAGTAATAATGCAACCTCTGTATATTTTCTGAGTATTGTCTTTATATAAACACACATATGCTACTCAAGATGTTTTCTATGAAACAGCAACCTGGGCATCTCCAAGAAGGCATTTGGAAACGTTGAATCTCAAGCCCGATTCCAAATCTGCTGAATCAGACTCTGCATTGTCAAGATCATTGGATGGTTCACATTAAAGTTTGAGAAACATTGACATATTCTCATATTTAGTTCTGTGTTCTATTTTGTCACTTACCAAAACCAAAAAGTTTATTTATTCTGTATTCCCTATTAATTGTTAACAATGTCATGAAGATAATAATTTGCAGAAATTTGAAAACATTTAAAGATAACAGGAGGGTGAAAGATAGTAGATACAAATTGGTAAATTGGCAAAGAGAGCTCTATGATGCTTTATAGTGTCTTTTTAAAGAGCCTTATTATTTTAAAAGTTGTCCCAATGAGCCATTGACTCATCATTGGATTTCAAACTATTTCAGAAATGTGACTATTTCATTATCTAGGAATATGAAATAATACATTCTCAAACTCTTGTAAGGGTGAAAAGTCAGGAAGTCATTAACACATTGCACAATTGCAACACCTCTACAGGCTGAGTCAGGACTTGTCAGCCACTTATGATGAATTGTAAGGGGTGGGGAAAAGGTGGAGCCAGAATTTGAATCAACTGATTCAGATAAGTAAACAAAGGGCTGTGACTCCTGAACACCATGACATCTCCATAACTGCAGCCAGTACTTTGCTCTGTAATTAGGGAGGGCAAATCTGTGAATTTACTTTTCTAGTTGAAGATAAAGTCCAGATTACTTTGGAGAGACTAAGAAGTTGTGATCGGTTTTCAGGCATTATGCAGCCAATAGTCACAAACAAAGCATTAAGACTTGGTTATCTTCAAAGCAAGGAATTAACCAAATTCAAACTTAGATTTCTAATGTTAAAAAAGAACAAGAAAACTTTGAGGAGACTGCAGCCGTCCCAAAAGTAGAACAAATAGAGGCTGTGTTTGCAGAGCTAGGTATAGTATGGGAGTCAGCCAACATCATTTGTGCTTAGCCAGAAGAGAAGGCAGGCAGGGCAATAGGAAAGCTTTATAGTGACCAAGATGATCTTACCAGTTCCTCAGTTTTGCTAAATTTTAGATAAGTTTCTTGACTGTAGGTCCCTGACTTCCCTTTTCTTAGAGCATTTACTTTAGAAGACTCAATTGTAAATTATTTATCTGCTCCTTTGAAATATAAATCTAAGAAAGATCCTGGTAAGTCTTTCTTAAGGACCTAGGAGGCATCCTTTTGAAATGTAATTACCAAAAAAACAAAAAACCCAAACAAGCAAAACCAGACGTCTCTAACTTTCAGTCTCTGTGGGAGGGTGGAAGCCCAACTTCTCAAAGTGCCGATCAGCAAACATTTATGACATAATCACATTGACCAATGTCCCTTTTAACATTCTTACCTTAATGCTTAAAATGTTCCCATCTTTTGCTTCAAAGAATTGGAGTTTAATCTCTCTCCCCCGTTGCAATCCTTTTTTTGTCTTGTTTGGTTTGTTTGTTTTTGTTTTTGGAGACGGTCTTGCTCTGTTATCCAGGCTGGAGGGCAGTGATGCAGTCTTGACTCACTGCAACCCAACCTCTGCCTCCTGGTTAAAGCGATTCTCCTGCCTCAGCCTCCTGAGTAGCTGAGAGTACAACAAGTGCATGCTACCACACCAGAATATTTTATTTATTTATTTAATTTTTAGTAGAGACAGTTTCGTCATGTTGTGCAGTCTGGCCTTAAATAATCCACTTGCCTTGGCCTCCCAACATGCTAGAATAACAGGCTTGAGCCACCACATCTGGCCTCTAACGCAGTAGTCTTGAATAAAGTTTTCCTTGCTTGTTTAACTCTGACCCATGCAATTATACTTAATAATAGCGGGAAGAGAAAGACTTTAGTTGTGCTCTGCTTGGAGCATATTGGCATGCAGGAGCTGGAGGCAGGTCATCTAGAAGGACAGCTTCTTATATGATTGGTTTAGGGCTTTCTCAGGTGGGCCCTGAGTTGGGGAGGGGGAAGAGAAGCTGGCACTCCCTGACCAACTCCTGACCTTTTAAGCTGATGACTCCAGAGGCTGTGGTTTGACTTCCCAGGTTGTTAGTTCCTTGTCACAAAGCTTGTAGGTTGGCATTCTGTAATAAGTGATACCAACTTCATAAGAATTTTTCTAGGATTAAGTTGAATAAAAAATTCTTAGGACAGTGTCTGGCATATGGTAAATACTCAAAATTAGCTATGATGATTATTATAATTAGCAGTAGTGGTAGCAGTAGTGTGTTATTGTTCGGTTTACTTTTCATTCTAATTAGGCTTTAGTCTTTAATGACAAAGAGCAGAAGACATACAACACACTCACAAAATCAAATCCAAACCAGTGGTTTTTACTAAGACTCTTTTCTGTCTTTTTTCATATTTTACCATATATGATCTGGTCATTGTCCATATATATATTCAGTCTTTCATTTGTGTTAGACCAATCCTAACACAAGAGTTAGAAACTAAAAAACCCCAGTCATAAAATTCTGGAAGATTTAGTCACAGATTTGTTTTAAAGAGATAGTCACATTATACCTGT